AAAGGCAAGCTGGAGCAGCTCTCATATTTTCTACATCACTCAAACCTTCTGTTGCTCTTACATGTTAACTCTCCTCTGGACGCTGATTGAAAGCGTTCTGGAAACTTTAACTGAAGTAGAAACAGATAAGTTAGGCTGAGGGAAAGACGGTTCATGACGGAGTAAATTAAACTTTACTTTTTAAATAATTTCCAGTCAGGGTCTTCTAAACCTCCCGGAGTAAATACAATTATAGAACTTGAATCGTTAAGAACTAAACAACTCAAAACTTTGTGCATGCAACTTGTGATAACTAATTGGTCTAATCTTGTTGTAGAGGTTTTGGTAATTTAAGTGTCTTCTTAAATCTGCTGAGTCATCCTGAATAATTGGCTTTAATTAGTAAACAGTGGAAATCTTTGCCTCATTGTAGCTGATGGTTTGTTAAGTTGCTTTTGTTTTAGAGCATTTCTTAAGTGCTAAGCAATTATTGTTATCATTACGAAGATAATGACACAGCACTGCAATTAAAAAAAACAAAAAACTCCTGGTGTAACCCTTCAGAATATGAGAAGGTCGTCAGCAGCTCCCTCGCTGAGTAAATCTAATCCAGGCGTTTAAACATATGCATGTGTGCCTGACTCCAACGATAACAGACTGTGAACAGTAAAGACCTCCTTGGCTCAAGTTTCCACCAATAAATAGACATTTATTTATTTACTTAATTTCAAAGAATTAACAATTTTATAAACGCTCTTATGAAATAAAAATAGCACAAGGAAGCTGCCTGATGTGACACTGTAGCTCCTCTTGAATAGAGCTGAGCTTTCACAGATCTTTTCTACTGTCAGTGATGCTGCTGGTGTTATAGTAATGAGATCAGTTTGTTTCTCATCAGCCTGTATTATATGATAAAGGACACAAACATTTTAAAGGCAATGTGACAAAGGTGAGTTGGGATGGCGATTGCTTCTTCTGCGCAGTCCGATATGTGGGATTTACTGACGAGGGAACAGAAGGTGGTATATGCATTAATGCTCTCTTCAAAGTCTACAAATACATTTTACCTCCAGAACCTGGGAGCAACTTTAGTTTTTTTAAAGTATCAGTTAGTGGCTTAAAGTTAAGAAAGGCTAGCTTGTGCCCAGAAGGTTGTCTGTGGGATTAATCTGGGTGGGGAAAGTGAAGGAGTAACTCCAGTTGCTGCAGTGGAGCACTGGTACTGGTACCGGGCAGCTTCAAGGTATTCATGTTATGATTAGTGGAAACACAAGCAATTTGACTCAAAGATGGACACAAGACAGGTTCGGTACACGGAAGTTCAGTCCACACAAGCAAACAAATCAAGTGGAAAAGGCAGGAAAACAGTCAGTAATCCGAAAACCACACAGTAGGCTGGAACGTTTGACATCGAGGAACAAAGACAAACTGGCACTGAGGTAACACAGAGGATATAGAGGTGGAAAACTACTGAGACACAGGTAAAAACAACCAAAGGTGGGGCAAACAATGTGATTAGGTTCCTTCAAAAAGATATACTTCCTCCTTCAGTGAACTTTCCCTGAAAAAATACATGTGTGTAAAGACCTTAAGGCCTGTGGACGGAAAAACAGGGAAAGATGCTGCTGTTAAATCTTTCAAATGTAATTTTTTTTTGTGCTGTGAGCACCACAAATACAGTTCAATTAATTTCCTTTGGCGGAAATGATGTATCAAAACCTGGAGTAATAAAAGCCAGCATGATTGCAGGGAATTCACAGAAAATATGTGTTTGTGATTTGGGTGATGTGAAGTGAATTTACCCTGGTAACAATGGTACAAACTCTGAGGGGGCAGTTAAACAAAGCTGCAGCCACCAGCACATATGAATATCTCAGTTCTTGTAGACTTTATCTCATAGGTATTTTACTTTGTCTTTAGAATTGAGCCACTGCCCTTAAACTGATTATTTAGGACTTTGTGCCCTGAGCCAGGAGTTCTTCAGGCTTTGACATCAGCAGGTTGATTTAGAGTCGGAACAAGCATCAAGTTGCCGCTGTTTCCCCCCTCCAGGGCTCAGGGTATGACCTCAGACCCACGGAGGTTAATTTCCATGGCTCTCCTACAAGCACTGTTTAATATCCATTACAGGGCTGGATGAAACGCCTTCATCCACAGGGCTCCAGGGCTCAGCTATTCACAGGCAAGGTAAAGGCCCAAAGTACAGGACTGACCCTGCACGGCGCTCCGATTAGCATAATTGCATTTCAAACTGGTCAAGATCGCCGCGAGAGAGGAGCAATCAAACAGTCAAATGAGCCGTGGAGTGTTCATAGACGGCTCTGAGATTTCATTAGGGATCCAGAAAAACCTGGTGCAGGGCTGTAACGGGGCAAACTCTTGCAATATGCATGACCACATGACATTGATATGGGGATAAATTCCACATCCAGATGATTGGTTTGATTCATTCTCTGTATGAAACTCAAGCATCTCATGTTGCTTTTGAGGTATCTTCGGGCTAATGCGGGGCAGGCTAGGCTGTCAGTTTAATGGTGATTTAAGGGAGATTGAGTAACAGTAAAATGGCAGCATCAGCAATAAGACAGAATGAGGTGGATCGTCCTTGAGGATGAATGTCATATTGACATGCAGTTGTTCTTATTATCTCTGGATTTACTGCTCTGATAGAATTAGTAGATCTTATTAGTAGCTCATGCATAAAAATCTGATCTGGTGAGTTTAACCTGCTCGCTAAGCGTCTGTCTTTACAGCAACGTTTGAATAACGTGTTTGATTTACCATTGATATTTTCGTTCATATTTGAAATAATTAAAAGCACCTTTAAATTTCTCTTGCTGAAATTACGATTGACTCTTTTTAAGTCCCGCCCCTCTTCGCTCTGTGCTCCAATAACAAGCCTCTGTCGTCCTCCTTTTCTGTACTTAGATATGCTACGTGCTAGGCTAACCACATTTACCACATTTGCCTTAACTTCCTTGTTAACGTCGTCTTATCTTAATTAAATGGAAAAATCCAAAAAACTCTACTGATGCCAGGTTTTTTAAAGATGGTTCATTCAGAACTCGATAAAATCTCATTAAAATGTTTTAAATGAGTGACAAATAGTGCCCCCCAGTGGATGTGTGTATGAGTCATTAATTAGTAATTTTTTTGTAATAATGAATTTCCTTTAATACCATAATTCCTTTACTATATTTAGTCAACCTTTCATCTGTCATATTTATTAAAAAGTAGCTGTTGGGTGGAGGATGGTTTGCAGGAAGTCTTTTGTTGTATAAAATCCAATAAGGCCAACTGGATTAGAAGAAAACAAAAAACAACAACAAACAAAACATGTGTCTGTTAACTGATGGAAGAAGCACGGCACGCCATGCGGTTTCCTACCTGTCGGCGTGGTGATCCTGCACCTCTAAACAAGGCCATATCTCACCACGGCGACGCCGGTATCCTAGCAGCTGCAGCCGGCAGCGTTTGTTGGCACGGCAACAGAACAGAAGCTTAGAGACACACACACACACACACAGACACACACACACACACACACAGACTGATGAGTCTTTTCAGCTCTCTGTAAATAAAGTAAATGCAGGATGTAAAGTACCAAAAGATGTGCAAATACAAGCTTTATTACCCTGAGTGGAGATTCCTCAGGCAGAGCTGACTAGCGTTTTCAGCTCAGGCTTTAATTCCCAATGCAAAGACAGACATTTTGCTCTGCAGGCTGCAATTTAATAACCCTCAAACATAAACCATAAACCTTAAATGTCAGATTCAATTGGTACAGAAATGCACATCACATTAGAATGAATTAATTATGCAGATGTGCGCTCGCTGTTGTGCGTTGCCTCAGTGGGAGGGTTGAGTACACCTGCATTTAGCCCCACTTGTGCCTTCCAGGGCCCCATTACGCTGTGACACAGCTGTTAGCATTGCACAATCAACAGCTACATCTGAGAGCTCCATTTGGCTGAATTTACCACAAGTGCTCCCTCAATTTGATTTATGCAAATCAGCGACGCGTCTCTTAAAAGACGGAGCTTTTCAGCCGTTTGAGAGCTGGGCAGGAGTCAGCTGTTTTGTCTTATGTGGTTTCTCTCTAATTAAGACTTCAGATAACCTGGTTGACGTGGGAGGATAAATGCTCATCTCTCCTCTCATATCGTTTAAGAACGAAGGGAATATTCATGGGATCTGTGTGAACTATCAGCAGCCCTCTGCTCACAGGCGACAACACCAGCAACACAAACAAAAGCACAGTAAAAATAGATTTTCAGATAATAACATAGACATTGTTTTATCCCATCACACTGGAAAATAATTGAATTCACACTGTTGTCCTCAAGTGTACTTGACAGGTCACATACACGGAGGTCGTACTGAGAGGAAACACAAAAGAGAGGCTTTGCTATAGCAAAGTGTAAACGGGAGTACAGCTCAGTTTTTCAGTCTGTATGTAGATTTTTACAAACGTTTTAAAAGGTCAAAATCAGCTTCCGGTTTGTGAAGATGGACGTGAGTGTTGTAGCAATCTGCTATCACAACCACGGGAGTGGCTCGTCACTGAAACACCCACTCCAGTTGTAGATCAGTACTTTCATTCAGCTTCTTTTAAACAGTGAGGATGCAAAAATCCGTCATTTTATTCAGGTAACGTTGCGTTTCACCGGTCGCCTGTCGAGGCGTACTATAACAGTCTCTTCTTGTGCTGCTAAAGCGTTGTGTTGGTCGCCAGAACTGTCTACATTGACTGTTTATCCATTGAAGCCACATTTTACCATTCCACTTTTAGATCTATGGTGCTTTCTTAACTCAGACTTGAACCAGAGCAAGGATTTATCATTCGACGCTGGATCTTAAGTTATCAAGAAACAACTGAAACTAACGTTACAGCGATCGGCTCGCAGCCCCTCCGGGACGTCCTTTGTACATACTTTACTTATTTTAATTATCAATTGTAGAATTAATAAATTAATTGTTTTGAAAATGTCAGAAAAAATGTCAACTTCCAAAGTCCAAGGTTCTGTCTTGAAATCTCTTCTTTTATTTGATCGACAGTTTAAAACATATTCAGTTCACAACAATATAAAACAGAACAGCAGCAAATCATCACATTTAGGACCCTGGAAACAGAGAATATTTGGCATTTTTGCTTAAAAAACAATCAATCATCATAATCAACTAGTTGTTTTGAGGTCTAGGTCAGGACTTCAGCTCTTAATGTGGTTGTGGCTCAAATAACCTGCAAACGTCACAGGTTCGAGTCCCTGTTAACTGGACTGTGGCAACATGAACAAATCAATGTACAGTCGAACAATTTACATGATCAGTAATCGAACTCGGAGAGCCTCCGCAAATGTACATTTTAGATAAAATACTAATGATACAACGTGTGGTTTGAATTTGTCCTTGAAACACTGCAGCTAACTGACACCTCACTTCAGTTTAGATGACATTACTCATCCTTCATCAATCGTCTTCCTCAGTGTCCAGTGGTCCTCGGTTTGGGGGAAGAGACGGTTTGATTTGCTGCCAGCGATTTGGGGGCCAGATGATGTGAGAGGCCCGACCATGAAGCAACCCCACTGACACCTGGGAATAAAAAAAAAAAAACCCACACGACTCAAAGTCAGAACTGAAAAGTCAGAGCGAGATAATGTGTCTTTAATAACAGATGATGAGATGAAGAACACTGTGGCCATTATTTTCAGCCCAGTATCCGTATGTACGTCCATACTGGAGGATTCTGCAGTTTGCGACTCATTCCCACAAAGGAAGTCTTTATGTAGAGGAGCAGACATTAAGGATGGAGGATTGGAGAGGACCTTGTAACCATATGGGGTTTTTAAAGAGTAACCAAATCATTAAACCTCTGTATATGGGTATTTAGTAGTGTTGTTCATCAATTCACGTCCAAATCTCGCTGTTTTCAAGAATTGGTTAAAAATAGAAGATTTTCAATACTTCTTAATCAAATATTTGAATTCTACATATTGTGCTACAAATATGAACAGTGGACTCCCTCAGCTAGATCTGCAATCTCCACTCGGACACCACAGACACTGGAGAGTTAGCCTCTCTGAGCTGCTAGCTTAGCTAACGTTACAACACAGGTAGCACACAGAAACCTTCACAAATGGTCATGAATGTGCTTCT